ACACAAAGGCATGTGACCTGAGCTGGACCAATGGGAGACCTAGCTGGAAGTCTTATGGGATTCTTGCCAAACAGAAGGCTCTTCCTGCTGTGGCTACAGGACATGTGCCTAAAGTTGATCCTAAGCAGGGCAAAGCAGGATGGAAGAGGGAGGCAAGAAAGGAAGGAACTGGAGTTTCTTAAGAAGTAGGCTAGCAGTCAGATCCTCCTCTCTGTAGGATAGCAAAACTGAAGTTTTTGTCACTTGCCACCAAAAGATTCCTAACTGGCACCCCTAGTCTGATGCTCTCAACTGTGACTCTGAACAGTGTTGAGTGATAACCTCCTTGTCAGTAAGACTCATTCTGGTCCCCAGGCAAAGAGCCAAACCCATGATCTCCCCAGAGCAAATGCAGAAGCCAAATAAAAACCATGCCAAGGTGGATTCTGCTGATAAGGAACGTGTCCCCTGGATGCTGTGCTGATTGGTTTTAACTATCAACTCGACACAACTTAGAATCACCTGGGAAGAGAGTCTTAATGAGGAATTATCTAGATTAGCTTTTCCTATGGGCATGTCTGTGGGGGATTGTCCTGATTGTTAATGGATGTGGGAAGACCAAGCCCTGAATGTGGGCAGAACCATTTTATGGCTGGACCCTGGACTGTGTAAGAGTAAAGAAAGTGAGCTGAGAACTGAGCTAGCAAGGATTCGTGCATTTCTCCATTTCTCTCTGCTCTTGGCTAGGATGCGCTGCTTGAGTCCCTGCCTTGACTCCCCAGTGCGGAGGACTGCATCCTGGAATGATAGCCAAACAAACCCTTTCCTTCCTAAGTTGCTTTTTGTTAGGGTGTCTGTCACAGTAACAGAAATGAAACCAGAACAGAAGACTTTCTCTGTCCTGGGGATGGAGTAGGTGGGAGGTTGGGTCCATCTGCTCATGAGCTTGGCACTTCTGCTCGCATTCACCCCTCCTAGATGGTCAAATAGAATCAAGAGGCACATAGGTGACAGGGTTTTCCTAACTGTTCTGTCTACTGTTAGGCACTGAAACCAGCTTGGGTTTTCTTGGAGGTTGGCCCATCCATCTCCACCAGGACCAGTACAGGGAGCTGGCTCAGAACAGTTGCTTGTCAACTTGTCTCTCTGGCCTCTGTGGCAAGCCTTTAAATGACTGGAACATCTTTACATTATAAAAGAGCTTGGACCAAACACAAAATTCATTTATGGGGAAAAGGCAATTCTGGGAAAAAGCTCTCTCTGGGGGTGATTTGCAATGAGAATGCCATCCAAAGGGCCAGCTTGCCCTCCTTCTTGGATAATACAGTGGTAATAATTGCAACTCCAGCTCCTGGCTGCATATGCAGCTAAGCACCCACAAGCCTGGATTCCTTAAAGGTAACTCTCAAATTCCATCCTCACCATAAGATTTTGGGGGGGGGGGCAGGCAAGATTGCTCACAGCAAAGCTGACTTCAATCCCCAGAGTCCACATAAAAATGGAAGGGAGAACAGATACTACAAATTAGTCCTCTGATGGCCACACACATGCAGTGGCGCTTGTGCACCCCACACACATACATCGCGTACAATAATAAATTTTTAGAAAGAAGTCTCCATATACTAGAGAGCTTTAAAAAAGACTAGAAGGAGAATGGCTATTATCTTCAACAAGAGGGAACTAAGAGCCAGAGAGGTGGAGAAAATGTCCAAGGTCACACACCTAGCTGGTAGTAAAGGTAAGGTTAGACTTAAATCCAAAGGGGAACATTCCAGTGAGACAGCTGCCTGTTTCTCAGACACAGAAAACCAGCAGGGCTGTTGCAGTAGCAACTTCAAAGGGAAGCCAGTCCAGTGTCACTTGTCTCCAGTCATCCAATTTACCAGTACAGTGAATGCAGCCCCCATTCTGGCAAACAACAGCTAAAGAGAGTCTGGAAGTTGTTGTAAAGGAAAGAGTGGATGTTTGCTGAGTGCTTGTGATGTGGCTGTCAACCCCTTCTCCCTTGCAGCAACTAAAAGTCAGTGTGAGGTCCTAGGTAACATTCATTTTTTTCATGCATTTCCTTGGGTTATTATTATTATTATTAATTATTATCTATTTCTCCCACAGCACTGGGGACACAGCCCAGGGCCTCGTTCACACTAGGCAAGCAAGCTCTACCATTCAGGAATATCCCAGCCCTTTTTCTTAATAGTGTTTTAGTTTGAGATTGGGTCTCACTAAGTTTCCCAGACTGACATGGAACTCAAACTGAAGCCCAGCAGTCCTTGCACTATTGACCTTCCTGCCTCTGTCTCCCAGGTGTTTCATGCATTTTTATTCCACTTTGTGGAATCCTGATCCCACCCCTCATGGTTTTGACATCTCAGTCTTATCAATGTGGAAATAAGGCTCAGAAAGGCTAAGAAACCTACTCCAGGACCACAGAGGGCCAGAGAAGGGACTGAGTTAGAACCAGATCTCTTCTCCCTTACTTCAAACACAGAATCCTAGATGATTCTTAAAGTAGCACTCCAGTAGCACCCAAAGTTCCTCTTGGTGCAGAGTAGAGTATCTCTACTCCTCAACCTCCCACATAGCCAGGTGAGACTTGCAGAGAGTTGTGCTGGAGCTGACTGAGGAACAGCTCACAGAGCAAGTTAAGATTCCAGGAATCTTGTAAGCCAGGTACTACTGTGCTGACATTTTGAAACTAGTCACAGTAGAAATATTTGCACCACAGAATTTGACTAATACTATAAATCAAGGACTTTTAAAATTTTTTCCCAGAGAGCCAAATTGTTAAATATTTCCCAGCATGCTACTGGACTTGAGAGAAACAGTTCTACTTTATTAATCTATTTGTACATACAGTCACTCATTCATTCATCTGCTCATTCACTTGCTCATCTATCTATCCATTCATGCACCTATCCTTCCTTCTATCTTTCACTCATCTATCCATCCACTCACTCATCCATCCATCCATTCATCCTTCCATCCATTCACTCACTCATCCATCCATTCATTTATTCACTCATCCATCCATCCATTCACTCACTCATCCATCCATTTATTCATTCACTCACCCATCCATCCATTCATTCAACCACTCATCCTTTTATCCAGTCACTCATCTATTCATCCATTCACTCACTCATCCTTCCTTCTATCTTTTACTCATCTATCCATCCATTTCACTCATCCATTCATCCAGTCATTCATCCTTTCATCCAGCCACTCATTCATCCGTCTATCCATTCACTCACTCATCCACCCATTCATTCATTCACTCATCCATCCATTCATTCACTCACTCATCCTTACATCCAGTCACTCATCCATCCATACATTCACTCATCCATCCACCCAGTCATTTACTCATCCATCTATCCAGTTATTCACCCATCTTCCATCTATTCACTCACTCATCCATCTATTCATTCAAACATATGTTGGGGATATAACATATAATTTTGTCCTATAATGTAGCCTGCATTTGCTCTTATATTTGTTCAGCAGATTCTAACTTGTGATCAGCTATCTGCCACGTTCTGCATGTTCTGTGCTAAATACCAACAATTTAATAGTGCAAGATAGAAATGATCCCTAGCTTCATGGGGTTCAGAGTCTAATGAGAGAATCAGATTCTAAACCCCAAGAAGTCATTTGACCTGTACAATGAGAAGGAATTAACCATGCCAAGCTAGTTGGTAGGAGCAGAGAGACACCACAAAGAGGAAATACCATGTGCAAAGTCTTGTGGCAGGAGGAAGTTTAGGGTGCAGAGGGACATCTTTAAAAAGAACGGAGCCAGAGAGACGCCTGCCAGGCTAAGGACCACTTCTTCAAGTCTCAGGAAGTCTGCCCAAAGCCACTCATGCCCAAAGTCTGTGGATCCCAGGCCTCATTTCCTCCTCAGAGCCTCCCTATGGGATCTTTCTGGGCCTCAGCTTCCTCATTAGAAGAGTGAGATGAAAAATGGAGGTAATAGCCAGACCCGGTGATGAAACTATCCCAGGTGCTCATGAGGTTGAGGCAGGAAAATTGCAAGCCTGAGGCCTGCCTGGCCTACAGAGTGAGTTCAAGGTCAAGCTGGAAAACTTAGTGAAACCCCATTCAAAATACTTAGTAAAAAGAGGACTGGGAATTCAGTGGTAGAGCACTTGACTAGTATGTGCATGGCCCTGGCCCTGTATTCAGTTACCCAGTACCCAGAAAAAATAATGGGAGAGAGAGGAGAGGAGAGGGAAGAACGGGAGGAAGAGGGGGATGAAGGGGGTAGAGGTGCCAACTTCATAGGGTGAGTATGAGAACCAAACACAAAGATGAAAAGCTCTTAGCTGCATGTCTGGTCAGCTCCAAGCACCAATCAATGATCCGAACCACCAGCTTTGTGTCTCCTCTTCCACAAGTGTCCTTTCCTCGCCCCGGCCTTTTCTTGTGTGCTCTCTTGTTTACCAAGTGAAGGCCAAGCACTGTGGGAGGCACTGGGGAAACCAGCCACCAACAAGACACCTGCAGCGGCACTTGGGCAAAGAGCTATTCTTCCCACCCTAAATGCCTGCCTTGAATCACTCCACAAGCACCACTGCCAAGCTGACCCTCCGTCTGATGGGTTAGACTGCTCATTCAGCATTCAGGGCCCAAAGCAGGTTCAGGCACCGGCTTGGGCTTCCTTTCTGTTGCTGGCCACTGTGCAACTGCGTATACAGTGAGCGTCTCTCAGTCTCTCACTCCGCAGCGAGTCTGTGAGGGCCCAGAGGGCATGACCTGGATCTGAGTCCTCAGTCACCAAGGCGCCTGGCCTATGAAGTTATAATGGAGAATGAATCCAACACACACCACAGTTGGAGCGGAGAGGCCTCGCCCTCTGGTATAACCCGGCTCCCTTCTCAGGCCCTGTGGTCAAAGACCACCCACCACTTCCACAACCACCGCCCCTCCACAGAGCTGGAGCCGCACTTTTGGAGAACAGCATCAGACCTGAGGGCCCGAAGGGGGCTGTTTCCTCCCTGCATCCACTCTCTCCGACTCACCGAGAAGTTGTCTGCTCAAGTCACTGATTGTCACATTCTCCTGCCAGAAAGGGTTCATCAGCGGCGTGCACGAGCTCTGGACTGCTGGAAGAAAGGAGTTCAAGGGCGGAGCCCTGGGGTTCTGTCACCAATATCTCCCTAGATGTTCCCCACCCGAGATGGCACGGGGAGCCCTGAGGCACTTATGAGCCGAGCTGGGCCGCTCCAGGAGGACTTTCGCAGCCGCAGCTCTCAATGCCCACCCTCCCTGCACCCCTAAGTGGCGGACTGCGAGCTTGGGGTTTGGGAGAGCAGTGTGCACATAAAGCAGCAACAGGTCCCGGGCTTGCAGGTATAGCAGGGGGGCGATCGCGCGCACCCTTACCTCGGCAAGTCCGCCAGAGCCCGGAGTGGGAGCTCAGAGGCTCCAACTGGCTCCGGTTGGCAGGACCCAGTGGGTGCTGGGCCCGGGGACCGCTCCTCTCCAGCCGCTCGGTGTCGATGATATACCAGAAGTCGGTGCCGATGGCGGCCGCCAGCAGCACGAAGCTAAGCGCCCCGCTCAGCGCCGCTGCACCAGCCAGAGCTCCCAGGCGCACCCGCATCGCCCAGCGCCTGCAGGGAGCCGCCGGCTCCTTCCCACGATCCCCGCCTGCCGGCTTCCCACTGCCCGCAGCCCAATCTCCGCGACCTCCCAGTTGCACCCCTGATTCCCCAGCGCGACCCTGGCTCCACCCTCACTGGCGTACTCACACTTACTTGCACGTACCTCCTCTTAGACCCTCAATCTTAGTGCTCCCTGTGCCCTCAGATCTCCTCCCTGCTGCCTTCTGACCCTCCTTGGAGCACTCCTCCCACAGTACCTGTACCATAGCCCACCTCCTCGCTCAGCTCCAGCCAATGTCCAATGCGCAGTCCCAGCGCCCTCCTCCCTCTAGCTCTGCACTTTCCCCTCAGGGCCTTACTGCCTCCACTTCCCTGCCTCACTCTACGAGCCCTCCACCAACGGCTCCCACCACCCCTTCCCTGGATCACACTTTCTGCCTCAGCCCTCCTTGTTCTGCTCACACCTCAGCCTGGGTCTGCCCTGGCTTCCCACTGAGACCTCACCAGGACTCAGCTCCCAAGACTCCCAAGAGGAAGGGCAGGCTTCAGTGAGTCAAAATGCAGGGCGCGTCGGGGGCTCTACAGGAGCTGCAGTTACATGTACTCAGTGCCTCCTCCCTGAAGCTATTTTGATCCCAAAATCCACCTTCAAATGATTTTTCTGCACTGGCTACAAAGGAAACAGGCAGATTTGTTTTATCTATGAAAGTTCTTTGAAGTAGCCCCGAGGTCCGGTTCTGGGAGTCCATTTTCTTTGTCACTCAAGTCTTCCACATCACAGCCACCACCATCCTCACCCACACCATCTTGATCAAAACCACCATTTCCACCACCAGCCTCATCCCTATCCCCACCACCATCACCACCATCACCAGTATCACCACCATCACACCATCACCTGCAGCACAAAGCACCATTAACATTCTCTTCTTCATCATTATCAGTATTCTTATCAATTTCATCATCTCCTTAGCCAGCACAAAACCTTCCATTCCTTCAGGAAATCCTTCTGAAGCTTGGGTCTGACACTAGGGTCCATGTTGAGAAGAAGGCGTGATCAGCCCAAACACAACTCCTGATTGTGTCTATGATACAGACTTCCCAGTCTTTTCTAGGCAAGACACCCAAAGAAAATACTCAGGTGTGTTTGCATACCGGCATGAAGGAAGCAGATTCTAAGAGTCAGCAATAACCAGTTTGGGGGCTGCAGCTACCAACGGGCCCTCATGGCTGCCCTCGTGACTGGGAGGTCAAAATCTTGGCCTTTCTGTGATAAATTCTTTTTTTTTAATTTTTACAAAAACTATCGAGAATTTCATACATGCATATAAGGTGTTTTGATCAAATCCATGCCCACTCCCTCCCCTCCAACATTCCCCCCCAAAAGAGGTAGCCCTAAAATCTTTTAAGGATTAGATACAAGCTCCCAAATACTTTTGACATTTTTGGCCTTGGAACAGAGTATGTTGCTAACAGGCCCACGGACATTTTGACTTTTAGCCAAGAAACCGGCTACATTTCTTTAGGGTCGTTTTACCCTAACTGCCTAGCCAATTCCTACCTCCTACTCTTATCACGCCATCCTTTGAAGGGGTTACCCAAATTGCCAATAGGGAATAAGGATGCCGACCATTCTGGCTTCTTCCTCATAACTTTTGTCTCTAAGGGGAGAAGAAAGTTCTTGAATCATGAATGGGAGATGTGAAAGAGAAGTAAAGGCAAGAGTAATTAGCATTACAAGTTCTAGACAGGGAACTAGAAAAAAGTCAGAACAGGGCAAATTTCAAGTATTCATAAGGAAGTCCATTGGAGTTTCTTGACCAGGGCTTCCAAAAGCATCCCTCTATTGTGTTCTTCCTCATTTTTCTTTTGTCTACCAAGGCTGAACTAGTTGGCTGGGAAGAGTGGCTGGATACACAGGTGAGGGTCCAGTGACCCTGCTTGGCACTCCTTTAATGAATGAGTACAACCGTCAACAAGCCCAATTGTGGCTATGTTTAGCAATCAGGCTCAGCCAAAGTCGTGAAGATGGTGGTTATTTCATGCAACATCTATTTTCCATGGACTGTTGGCCTATTTCAATGGGAGTCCATCTGTTATAAGGACTTGGTGCTAAGAGCCACAAATTAGGGAGAACATACGTCTTCTGTTTTTCTGAGCCTGTGTTACTTCACTTAGTATAATAGTTTCTAGATCCATCCATTTACCTGCAAAATGCATTATTTCATCTTTCTTTACTGCTGAATAGAACTCCATTGTTTAAATATACCATATTTTTGTTAACCACTTGTCAGTTAAGGGACACTTAGATTGCTTCCATCTCTTAGCTATTGTGAAAAACGCAGCAATAAACATGGTTGTGCAAGTGTCTCTACAATAGGATGAGTCCTTTGGGTATATGCCAAGGAGTGGTATAACTGGGTCATATGGTAGGTTCATTTTTTGTTTATTAAGAGTTCTCCATACTGTTTTCCATAGAGTCAACATGAGTTTGCAATCCCACCAGCAGTGAATGAGCGTCCCCCTTTCTCCACAACCTCACCAGCATTTGATATCATTTGTTCTCTTGATCCTAGTCAGTCTGATTGGGGTAAGGTGATACCTTAAGGTGGTTTTAATTTGCATTTCTCTAATTACTAACGATGCATTTCCATAATTACTAACGATGTTGAACACTTTTTGTGATGTTTCTTAGCCATCTTTATTTCTTCCTTTGAGAACTCTCTGTTTAGATCTTTAGCCCGTCTTTTAATTGGGTCATTCACCGGTGACACATCTGACAGAGGTTTAACATCCAGAATACATAAAGAACTCAAAAAACAAAGAATTGTGATAAATTCTTAAAGAACCATCATGCTAAGGCCCAAAAGTGGATAAGCTCTGGTCAAGCTGGGGAATTGTTAAAAGTATACTAAGAACCTCCTGAGTGCTGTCCATACCAGGAGGAGTTTTCTGTCTCTTTAAGGAAGTGACATTGACAATGAGCTGCCAAGGATACAGCAGCTCGCCATGCCTAGAGAGGTCTGAAAGGTTGGGTACATTCGAAAGAAGTAGAGAGAGCCTAGCAAGAGAAAAGTGCACAGAGGGTTGAGATGAGTGAAGGGAGGGCAGGCCACACAGGTCTGCAGACCCATAAACCCTTGTGAGTTTAACTCCAACCCTGGACAGTTCAAAGCAGAACTGAAATGCTCTAATTTGGGTTTTTAAAAATGGATGTAGCTGGGCGTAGTGGTGCATGCCTGTAATCCCAGCACTCTGGAGGCAGAGGCAGGCAGATCTCTGTGAGTTTGAGGCCACCCTGGTCTACAAAGTGAGTTCCAGGCCAGCTGGGGCTACAGGGAGACCCTGACTCAAAAAGACAAAAAAAAAAAAAAAAAAAAAAAAAAAAAAAAGGATATTAGTGTGTAACATAGAATGGCAGGAAGCAAGAACGGCATTTGGGGAGAGGGGCTAGGGCCATGGCTCAGCAGGCAGAGACTTGCTGCATAAGCATGAAGATCTGAGTTCAAATCCCCAGAATGCATCTAAAAAGCTGGGCATGGTCAGGTACATGTGTAACTCCAGTTCTGCGTGGGGAGGGCAGAGACAAGAGGATAAGCCAGGCCTTGCTGGTTACCAACCTAGCTGGCTCTTCAGTGAGAAACCCTGTCTCAAGATAGTAGAGCAGAAAGTGACAGAGCAGGACACCTGACAGCCTCCTCTGGCCTCTGTGCCTCCCAGCCATGTGCACACACACACACACACACACACACACACACACACACATTTTTAAAGAAGAATTGGGGGGGGCTAGAGAGATGGTTCAGCAGTTAAGAGCACTGGCTGTTCTTACAGAAGACCTGGGTTCAAATCCCAGAATCCACATGGTGGCTAACAGTCATCTGTAACTCCAGTTCCAGGGGATCCGACATCCTCTTCTGTCCTCTGGGCATTGCATGACATAAAATAAAAATAAAAACTTTTAAAAAGATGAGCTTTTCGAAAAATGAAAAAAAGAAGAATTTGGAAAACAAAGTAGAAGAAGTAAGGGATCCTGGCAGTCTGGTCTAGGTTGGTAGTTTTGTGAGCAGCGAGGGAAGTGTGAATAATTTTTTAACTGAGTGGTTAGACTCGATAAGACACAGCAGCAGACTAATGTGAAGAATTACACAGTTACTGACTTCCTCCTTACCAACTCCCCCTTAATCTTCATCCCTCTCACCCATCTTCATCTTCAGGAGCATTAGCATGCTTGTTACCTAGGCAACCCCTAATTAAATCCTCAGTTTCACTTGCTCTTGGTTGACTCTCTAAAAGTCACTAATTTGGGAAGTCACACAGCCAAGCAATACATTCTTAGTCTCCCCCGGCTTTGCTTTAGATGACGCCTCATGGACTAAAGCCACTTAATGAGTTAAACACTCTTCTCCAGCAAATGTTATCTCTACTGGCCTCCCAGTAAAGTTGCTTTTCTATTGTAGTCCTCCAGGAGTCTGGGAGAAGTAACCTTTTGCTATCTTTTCCTGTCCCCAAGTAAAAGACACCTTTGTATCCCAAGATATCGCTGCAGAATAAACCATTCTTGGGAAGAAGAACTAAAACACCAGCCATGAGATCCTTTAATCAGCAACTTTTCTTTAAGTTCACAGAACCCAGATGTGGAGTGACTTCTAGAAAACGGTAGCCCAAGAGTCAGAAAAACAGACCACCTGAAATTTGTGACTATAGTGCTGCCTGAATATCTCACATACTTCCCCACAGCTCCCTACATAAGCTTTAGCCTACAACCCCTAAGGAAGATAGTCTTAGTTGATGATAATCTTTAGCCTACTAGCTTTCCGCATGAATCTTTATCCTCCGCTTGTTGGCCTTTAGAGTGATGAGCAGTGAACTCGGATTCGGAGTTGCATGTTAACAATGCTCTTAGCTGCGAGATCTCCTTATTCTGCACAATGTTTTGCCCTATCAGCCTCCACCAGCATCTCCTTAAGATCCATCTTTCAGTGATGGTTGTGCTCTG